ATTTATTATTGGTATAGGTATCTGAAGCAGCATGTTCGCTTGGTCGTATTTGACTTATAAGTCATAGCTTTATCAGCCAACGAACAGTATTTTTCTCTCACACCAAACCAGCCAACAGTACTTTTAGCCATGGCTTATAAGCCAAATCAGCCAAACGAACAGGGCGCTTGACTGGATAGATATATTACATGCCATTAGCTGTATCAGGTAAGGTAGGGAGTGTTCTTTCTTGTCGAGTACAATCACTTCTTTCTATTGTAGTGGAGGTGACTCCCTACCCCCTGTACTATTGTTGTCATGCGATCATCAACATTTCTATGGTGAGCTTATTCTTATGCTGAAATGCAGGTACCTCCATTGACTGCTAACTGCTAACAGAAATGCCTCAACGCTTCTTTGATAAATATGTAAGGTATGGCAGTACAATTGTTGATGATTGGACTTCTTAGCTTTTGAGCTTTAGGTAAATGATCCACAATGGTAATTGGGTTCTGTACAACAACATGCACGTTTTCTTGAAACTCTTTAGGTAAATGATCCATTACCTTTGGGTTCTGTACAGTCATGCATGTTTTCTTTTCTTGGTCATAGCTGAAATCAAAAAATGCTTTACCTGTGCATAGTCAGATGCATGTTTAGTCAAGTAAAAAAAATGCTTTATGTGTAGTCCATAGTTACCAAAATTGTACGGTCCTACCATGCCTCTGCAAATTCTTGGAATTGCCATTCTGCTGGTATCAGTTAGGGTACTGAGAACGTTATGTCTTCTGGATTTTTTTCCAGTTACCTAAATTCAGTTGTCACCCCCCAAAAATGTGGCCCAATTTTTCCATAAGGCTATCTTATGGTCACGCTTCTTTCTCTTATAATCCGTATTTTTATCTTGTTTTTTCAGTTGGAACAGTATTTTCTCTCTCATAACAAATCAGCCGGAACAGTGTTTCAGTTTGTTTTTTCAGCGAAGCGAACGGGCCTATATAGTAAAGGCCCGTTCAATTCTGACCCTGGGGATATGTACTTCCTAGAATGATTCCATGAGTCTAATTTATGCCGTCCGTATACCTTCAGATAACTCTTCCTTGCTCTCTACTGATTCTTTTGTACTACAGTACCTGTATGGCTATATCCCATGTTGTATTTCACCATAATGATTCTTCTATTTTCCCTTTCTGCTTCTAATTATGGCACTATTGTTACATATACATATAGTCTGCATATTTCAGTATGCTGGTATCAATCCAAAAATATGACATGCTGGTGTTACTTAAATAGGATATATGCTTCGTATCTCTCTATGCCATGTTAACCATCTAATTTGTGTTTTTTTAATGTCTGATACTTTTGTCATCCTCAAACTCTATACAGGCCCAACAGAGTCCCTTCATCAGAGTTCTTTGTAAGAGTTCTTATATGTCTAATAGTTTTCTGACCCCCAAATGTCTGACAGTTTTCTCTATTATTCCTGTTCTTCATCAGAGTTCCTCAATCTACGGCCTGTTCGGGAGGCCGTATCGTATCGTGGATTATTTACTGCTGGCTGGTTTGGTGTGAGAGAAAAACACTGTTTCCGGCTGAAAATTTACGATCGTTTACGAGCAAGCGAACATGCTGCTAATTGGTGCCTAAACGCTGGTGAACCATTGGGACCAGTACAATTCATATTGTGGCCTGATGTCTCTTACCAGGTTTTCATCCCTATCATGCGCTACTGCAGGATTGAATTTGCACAGCGTTGCACTTTTGGCCTCCGTGGCGGGCACTGAGTTTGCCCGCCATGGTACATACAGCGATTTACCGAGGCGGGCATTTTTTATTTACCGTGACAAAGTTTTTTTGCCCGCCGCGTAAATCAATTTACCGCGGCGGGCGCCTAAAGACGTCCGCCACGGAAAATACCCTATTTACCGTGGCGGGCGTCTTAAGGCGCCCGCCACGGTAAATCGATTTACCGCGGCGGGCATCATTTAAGGCCCACCACGGAAAATCGGAGGCCCAATAACAAAGCGAGGCCCACTATTTCGTCGTCATATATATACACGTAGTCGCACTCCCGGCAGCCGCCCTCTCTCATCTCATCTCTCTCTGCTTGCGACTCCCCTCCCTCCTCCCTCTCTCTCTCTCTCTCTCTCTCGCGTGGGCAACGACGGCCATTGTTTGATGGCGATGCGCAGCGGCAACGGCAACACGCGCGCCGAAAGCGATGGCACGCGTCTTGAACAACGGCGGCGGCGGGGGAGACGGCAGCGCGGGGACGACGGCATGCGGGTCGACGGCGCGGGGCTAAGGTTTTGGATCCGGCAGGCCAGCGGCGCGGAGGACGTCGATCCGAGGTAGGTGAGTTCATCTCCCTCTTCCTCTCCATCTCCCTCTTCCTCTCTCCATCTCCCTCACTCCTCCCTCTTCCTCTCTCCAGATCCGACGGCGACGACTTCCTCCTCCACGGATCATGGGACGGCAACGACGAGCCCGTCCTGAGGCGGATCTGGCCGGTGGCGGCGCGCGGTGACCGGATCCGGCCGGTGATGGCGTCCCGAGGCGGATCCGGTCAGTGGCGGCGCGCGGTGGCCGGATCCGGCGGGCGAGGACGGTTCGGCGCGGCGGCCTCCCTCCACCACGGCCTCCTCTTCTCCCTCCCCGAGCGGCACGGATCTGCAGCCGTGGGAAGCCCGGATCCGTCGCCGGTGGGCTCGCCAGTGGGCTCGAGAACGGGCTCGCCGGCGGGCTCCTGGTTTTTTTTTGTTTTTTTAAATGATTAACCGAAGCGGACATCCTAACGTGCCCGCTGTGGTAAAACTATATTTACCGCGGCGGGCGCGTTACACCGCCCGCCGCGGTAAATCGATTAACTGCGGCGGGCAAGGCCGCCCGCCGCGGTTAAGCCACGATTTACCGTGGCCTCTAGGCCGCGGTGGACGGCTTTGCCCGCCGCGGAAAACTAAAAACGTCCGTCTCCAGTAAAGTTTGTGTAGTAGTGTATGTCTTGCTTTGTTATAGAGATTGATCAGAATTGTATGAAGGATGTCATCGACTACGATTGCAACCGAAAGTGGACTATTTCGTCACATTCATGCACTGAGTTCTACAAACCATCAGATGTGCACTGAAAGTTCTGTACCAGTGATATTAAACTATAGGTAGCTCTGTGTTCACCTCAACACTGAGTAGAATATGCTCCAGTCATGTTCCACCCTCATTTTTCTATTATGAGTTCTTACTTCTAAAGCAAATTATCTTCTTTTGTGTTCCCTCGTTTGCTTACTTACATTGTGAATAACATGCTCTTGGAATGTTTGTCAGCTGTGAAAGATTTTATGTATGCAACTGCCAAGATAACTAGCATCCCGCAGCGAAGCGCGGGGTACCATCTAGTAAATTACAGAAGTGTGCATCAATGATAGTCCATCCGTTTATAGACACCATTGACGTTTTTCTTTTGTTATTAGGGGGATGGAAGGGTTGAACCTAATATTTTCTTTTTCTTTTTTTTATAAGTAAATATTCATTTTGTTAATATTTATCAAGGTTTTAAGTCTCCGGTTATAACTGTTTGAGAAAGATTTGTCTATATTTATCGATGTACAATTTAGCTGTTAGATGCCGCTATTATTGTTTGCTATTGGCGGCTATTTGCTGTTTCAGGATATAGATTGCTATATGCCTTAGCCGGTGATTTAAAACATTAATATTTATACAAATTCACAAGAATACAAGGCATGATTGAAATACTTTTGATGACAGATCTAATGATGATCTTTTCACTTTACCTAAGTAAGTTTAAATAAATACAATCGAGCCAAAAGTCAATGGTTTCATGGGCTGCAGCTGTGCCTTTGGCTGCAATAAGATAAGTATGCACTTCGTCCCAAAATAAATGTAAAAATCAAATCATTTAAAGTTTGATCAAATATATACAAAAATGTACTATATTTATGATATATAATAAGTATCTTTAGATTAAGCATGGCACTGACACAATAAACTTATTTGAGATACACATGTTAATACTATTTTTCATATCTTGTTAAAAATTTAAAAATTTGATTCCTTGAGAAACAAGGTATGCGTTTATTTTTAGATAGACGGAGGGAGTACTCTTTTATTGGGGCTACTACAAAGCAGCCGCGGTTGTAGCATACGATGGTGGAGCGAGTAGGCTGAATAGTGCCACACCTTATTAATAAATAAAAAAAAACAAAAGGAGTGTTGCAGAAACCTTTTGATTTTGCAGCTAATAATGTGTGTTTGATCATCTCCTTCAGCCCAGTCGCGCTAGCACTGTGAGAAGATCAACTGCGTTTGGGCCGCTTAGAATGGGGTTGGGCTGGGCCGCTGGGGACCGCAGAAGCGCCCAGCTTGAGAGCGGCAGGTCCCCAACCCCACTCGCAGCGCGATGTGTCACGGGCGCGCTCAGCTCCAGTTCGCACTTCGCAGTGCGCGGCGTCGTGGTGAAGCGCCAGAACCTGAGCGCGGCACAGAGCTGGTACGCGCCGCACGGCACCATCCCATGTTTGAGCGGCCAGGCACGATCACATGAGGGTGGCAGAAGCCGGTGGCCAATGAGACCTCTCCTCCCATTTGACACGCGCTGCGCATCCGGCTTTACCGGTCCCGTCTTTCCACAGCGGTCAATTGGACGCAGCGGTAGCATGAGATAGGCACACAGGGACTGCACGGATACCCAGGCACGCTGCTGCCTCTGCCGCGGTCGCAGGCGGCCTCTGCGCGCCCCGGCGCAAGCACACTGCCCTCGAAAGCGACCGTCCCATGCCGCCCCTCGTCCCCCAATACCTAGCCCTGCCCATCCGTCAATCCGCGCGCATCCGACGGTGGAGAGCGGCTCCGGCCCCGTGCCCGTGGAGAGAGCGCGGTTTACACCGCGCCGCTCCCCTCCCACCTCGCGGCTTTGAAGAAGCCAAACCTTTCTCGGGTTCCCACCCACGCGCGCTCTCGCTTCGCCAACGCCAATCGCCACTGTGCGTGCCTGCTCTGCGTCCACGGGCATGGACGCCGCTGCCCTCTTCCTCTCTCGCCTCCTCCTCCCCCTCCTCGTCGTCGCGGCCATCGCGGGCGCGGCGCCACTGGACCCGCAGCAGCTGCTGGCGCTGCGCGCGCTCGGCCTGGGCGCGCACCCGCGCGCCGACCCCTGCGGCGCGGGCGCCGTGGTGGGGGCCGTGAACGCTTCCTGCGACGCGGGGGCGCCGTTCCGGCGCGTCACGTCGCTCGCCCTCACAAACTGCTCCGACACCACCTCCGTCTCGGCCGCGGCGCTCGAGGCGCTCGCGCCGTCGCTCCGGGCGCTGGCATTCTCCGACTGCCCGGCCGCGCCGCCGCGAGCTCTGCCCCCGGAGCAGCTGGCGTCCGGGCTCCAGGCGTTCTCCTGCACCGCCTCGCTCCACCGCCTCTCCGCCGTGTGGCTCTCTCACCTCACCAATCTCACAGAGCTCACCGTCGCGGACACGCCCCTCGCCACGGGCTCCCCCACCGAGCTCGCCGTCGTCGTCTCCCACATGGAGCACCTCACCCGCCTCACCATCTCCAACGCCAACCTCTCTGGCTTCCTCCCGCACCACTGGCATTGCCCCAACCTCACTCACCTCGATCTGTCTGGCAACCGCATCACCGGCGCCATCCCAGATACCCTCACGCTCCTCGCCGGCATCACCCACATCAACCTCAGCTCCAACGTTCTCAATGGGCCCATCCCCACCTCCATCGGCGATCTCATTTCGCTCACCACCCTGGACCTGTCCAATAACACACTCTCCGGTGGCATCCCCGACACCCTCTCTACGCTGCCGGAGCTGGAGGTGCTCAACCTGGGCTCCAACCGGCTCAACGGCAGCATACCGCTGTTCCTGGCCGAGATGCGGGGGCTAAGGGAGCTCAACCTCGAGAACAACGAATTCGACGGCATGGTGCCGTTCACCGCCAAATTCCTGTCCAGGCTGCGTGTTTTCAGGGCCGCCGGGAACGGCAAGCTGTGCTACAACCGGTCCGTACTGTCCGCCGAGATCGCCGTGGGCGTGGCGCCGTGCGACAAGTACGGGTTCCCGGTGCTGCCGCCCCCGGCCACGGCGCGGTCGGAGCGAAGCGCGGACTACGACGACGGCGGCGGGGACGGAGAGGCGGAAACCGGCGCCGACACGAGGGGTGGACCCAGCGCAACGGTGCTCGGGGTGGCCATTGGGCTGTCCTGCCTGGCGTTCCTGGTCATCTTGCTCGTTTGCATCTGCAAGGTGTGCCGCTGATGCACGGCGCCGCCTCTGCCGCGTGCCATTTCTCCATGTCTTTTGCCGAGTTCGTTGGTCGCTTCTGCCCGATTCTGCTGTTGCCCATCGTGCCGTAAAAAATGTATGAAGTACTGATAGCTAGGATCAATTGACTCTTAATTTATTCACCTGTAATTTTTTGGCGCCGTTCTTCGCTCTTGGTCGCGTTTCAGCCTTCAAGAAGCAAAGGATAGCTTTATACAAAAGAGGGTTTGTCTTTTATTTGGAGCACTTGGAGGAGCAGGTTATGGTTATGGCGAATGTTTTGGGTATGTATTCTTACAAAACATATGGTATGTCACATTCGCAAGAGCAAGATTGGCCTACATTCAGCCTGTTCGGCAGGCCGTATGTCGTTTATTATTTTCTATGGGAAAATCCATGAAATTTACGATCGCTAAAACCAATTTAAAAACAAAAAAAACCAATAAAAAACAAAAAAGCTACATCTCGTTCGAATATTGGAACACTTTCATTTTTCTCCCTTCTCTTCCTCTCCCTCTTTTCTCCATCTCCGTCAGGCCTAGAAGAAAACTTTGGGAGGCATGCAAGCTAGGCGGTGGGGATGCGAGAGACAGAGGTGACGGTGACGTCGCCTGTTGAGGACCAATAGTAGGGTACCCGAAAAGGATCTAATAACCATCAACATTGATTCGTCCGAGCAGTCAAGAGCGCGACTACAGCCCCAACCGACGCCTAGGTGCGCAAACTCTGCCTCGCCCGACCCCGAAGGGTTGGCTCCGCCTCGCCCGACACCGAGGTCGCGGGCTCCGCCTCGCCCGACTCGTGAGGGTTGGCTCCGCCTCGCCCAATCCCTGAGGGCGGGCTCCGTCTCACTTGACGCCGAGGCCGCGGGCTCCGCCTAGCCGGACGCCGAGGCCGCGGGCTTCGCCTAGCCCAACCCCTGAGGGCGGGCTCCGCCTCGTCCGACACCGAGGCCGCGGGCTCAGCCTCGCTCGACACCGGGGCTGCGGGCTTCGCCTCGCCCGACCCCTGAGGGTTGGCTCCGTCTCGCCCGACACCGAGGCCGTGGGCTCCGCCTCACCCGACCCCTGAGGGTTGGCTCCACCTAGCCCAACACCGAGGTCGCGGGCTCTGCCTCGCCCGACCCCTGAGGGCGAGCTCCGCCTTGCTCGACGTCGAGGCCGTGGGCTCCGCCTCGCTCGACCCCTGAGCACGGGCTCCGTCTCGCGCGACACCGAGGCCGCGAGCTCCGCCTCGCCCTACCCCTGGGCGGGCTCCGCCTTGCTCGACGCCGAGGCTGCGGGCTCCGCCTCGTCCGACTCCTAGGCGGGCTCCGCCTCGCCCGACACTGAGGCCACGGGCTTCACCTCGCCCGACCCCTGAGGGCGGACTTCGTCTCTTCCGACACCAAGGCCGTGGGCTCCGCCTCGCCTGACCCCTGAGGGCGGACTCCGCCTCGTCCGACACCGAGGCCGCGGGCTCCGCCTCGCCCGACCCCTATGGGTTGGCTGTGCCTCGCCCGACCTCTGGGGGCGAGCTTCGTCTCGCCCGACACCAAGGCCACGGGCTCCGCTTCACCCGACCTCTAAGGGCCGGCTCCGCCTCGCCCGACCCTTGGGCTTGGACTCCGCCTCGCCTGAGGCTTGGCTCTACGGTCCGCTTCGCCTGGCCTCTGGGGAGAAACTCCGCCTCGCTCGACCCCGAGGTCGGGGTCTCCGTCTCGCTCGACGGAGACACATACCCCCGCCAACCACTCCAGGTCCAAACATATGGGCCTGAGTCAAAGCTCTGACACCAGGGAGGTGACTGGCACGCCCCGATACAACCCGTGGCCGTGACGGACCATACCTGAGGACTCACATCAGGAACAGCGTCGGGCGAACCGGCGCTATTCTGCCTAACCCTTGTACGAACACTGACAGGCGCATCAGTTCACCACGATGTCCGCTAGGACGAAGTGGAGCGCCATGACTGGAAGACTACGCCTGCACATGGTGTGGCAGAACCGCCCGAAATAACGTACTTACGGAGGCGCTCGTCTTCCACCAGACACTAAGCACCCCGAAAGCAAGCTACAACAGGCGGGTTTCGTCGGGCACAACCCAAGGGAGACCTTAAAGATCCACATTTTTCCCAATGATCCAATAATGAGAACGAGTTACAATTCTTAATCCATTTCATACATCCAAAGTTCATAAAAGTCAGAGTGTGGAATATTAAACAGCGGAATACAAATAAACGTCTAACGATAAAGAGCAAGAATCCGTCTGTGCCCACCAGAAGAATCCTTCACACAATGTACTTTTCAAGCATTACCTGCAACAGGGGTAAATAAACCCTGAGTACACAATGTACTCGCAAGAGTTATCCGACTAGTGTGAATAATTTCCCAACTCCAAGGAATATGATAAGCTTTATGGTTTACTAGTTTCCTTTTTGTAGAAAGCAATACTAATAGTGAGTCCTTATTTATGTTATTATTAATAGTTGTATTAATTTATTATCTAGCCATTCTATGTAAGCACCTTTTCTACTTTCAAGCAAGAGTTGAGAAATCAATTCTATTTCATCACCTTTCATCTTTCAGTTCTTACTACGATGCTAGACCGTAGACAAGCCGTACCGGAACGCCGGTGATTCGCAAATCAATGCCTCCAGTCGGGTACCTCGAAAACACACACCCCGCTTGTACCCCAGGCACAAGCAGGACTAACCCATCACCCTCCTATCATGGGATCCATGTTTCCGTCCAAACTTGGACTCCAAGCCCCCGCTTCTAAGTCCCGGACTTAGTGCGGTGCTAGGACCTCCACCATCCCCGCCTCCAATCGGCCGGTCTGAAAAGAGCCGGAACCCACGACAAGCGAGCAACAAGTCTTCCCTACACCCATACCCAAGTATATGCTCGGGATAATAAATCTATGACTTACCTAGAGCCCAATACAATGGCTGGTCTTTAACCGACACAGACAAAAAAAGTGTAACCAAGCTATGCCCTGTTGGCCATATGACACAACTTCTTACACCCACCAGTACCCAAACCATATCATTGTCCGATCACCACTTTTCCTTTCCACCATTTTAACATGAGTGATCATAATTATCACCTATTGTGAGTAACGGTGGGTTACTCACGCTACCAAAATCCTAAGCATAGCAGCTACTCGACCTATACTAGTAGGACTCATAGGTAGATATATTTATGCATGTAGTTTCCATCAAATGCCTGTAACGTAAATGCACATCACATATATTCAGTGATCATTTAAAATAAGGGTTATGCACCGGGGCTTGCCTTGGGCAGGCGGTGGGTCAGCAAAGTCAGCACCAAAAGGCTTTGGGTCTCCCTCCTACACGAGGATCTCCTCCTCATACTCCTCAATGACCTCTTCGTAATCCTATTCGTCCACGGGCACGAACTCTACCAACTCGTGATCTACATGCATAAAATGATGATGCAACACTTAGTAATACAACAACATCAGCTCTTAAAATAAAATACATCTATCAATTTATTAAGCGAGTTCTACCAACTAAGGTGCTAAGTTACCTACTCTTAACACTAACAAGTATGAAGCGTGACATATATTATCTTAACAACTAAAGGTATTCTTACTCTTAATACCGATTTACTCTACATACGATAAAACAAGGGGTACTAGCTATTCTATTTATCCACCTACTCTAGTGCTACAAAAATTACAGTGAGTACATAATAATCTAATGATCCTACTGTAAAAATTTTATGGCTAAAACCATCATCAATTTACCACAAAAATTCCTACAAATATCAATTTACATAATACTAAGCTCTCTAATTTGAATTTATGAACCTATCAGTATCATAGCTAACTGTAAACTAACCACACTAACAGATAGATGGCATTTTTGTGAACCCAACAAATTTTGTTTCACTATTTTTGGACACCTATAAAATTTACTACAATTTATCAAAGTTCATCTCAAAACTAAATTGAATAAGCATTTGTTAATTCACGGAAAAAGAAGAAACTAAACTTCACCGCGCGGCCCACCTCGTGGCTCGGCCCACTCCCGCAACGCCCGCGTGCCCACCCACGCAGCGCACCGGCACGGCGCAGCGCGGCACGGCCCACAGAGGGAAGACCCGCGCGCGCGCCGCATTATGCAAAAGAGCCCTCGGCCTCCAATCAAATGGAACCACAGTCCATTCCACTATTCCCCTCTCTCACTAACTCTCGCACTTAACCCCTCAGCTCACTTCAAATTCATGTTACAAAGTCCCTGGCCGGAACTCAACCGAGGCCGCGGCGTCTCCGGCCAAACGTCGGCGAGCACGGGCCTCATCGGCCTCAACCAACACCTCCCTAGCACTCTACTAGCGAAGCGCCATCGATAGAGGTATCGTACACTAAAAACGATGCAGCGCATAGGTGTGGCCATGCACCGCGCGCGGGGTCTGGCCGTGGCAACACCGACGCCGGTGAAATCACCTAACACCACGCTACCATCACTACCTAGACTCCATGCCTAGCGTACTGGTAACATCCCAGAGGTCCTAGACATACCCGTTCTACTCCCAAACGAGCCAGCCACGTATGCCGCATATACACTACGTTCGTCGGAGGCGACCACGCGCTCCGACGAGCCTTGACCCAAACCGTCTCAATCACCTACCTTAGGAGCGAGAGGACCTCACCAGATACATGTAGGACAGACTAGAAGACATTGCGGGGCTCAACAAGGTGGTTGACCACGGGCGCGGGGTGACTCTGGTTCACGGCGAGCGCGACAACGATGTCCCCGGCGACCTGCTGCTCCACCAATGAAATTGCTACACGGGCGAGGTAATCGGGTCAAGGAGACGCAAAATCACTGCTCTATTGAGACAACGAGCAATGAGCTACACCCTGGCCGAGCACCCGCCTCAACGGCATGGCGGAATGCCGTGAGGAGAATGTGCCGCATTACCTCACTATAGAATGGAAGCTCACCGAAACGACTCCAATTGCTGGCTAACTAACAGGTCTAGTTGG